TGAAGTGTCCTTTACTGCTGCTCATCTGAAGACCTCCTGAATGTGTCTCAAGTGGCCTCCCTGCCTGCTACATAACAGCATGTGCTCTGCCAGCTTTTGTTTCATCACAAGAGAGCTTAGAGCTGTTCTGCTCTCGGAAATTGGGTAAGATTCGGTCTCCTTCCTACAATGACTCAGTGTGCTGGAGAAATGACTCCTGCCTTGTGCGAGCAGCTATCGCAGTGCACAGAGCTGTGCCAGCCTCTGCTAGCCACCAGGTCCCCTCAGGAGCGCCCCTGAGCCAGCAAGGAGCTGGGGCTGCTCCACACTCTGCTCTTATGATTGCTAAATATAGAGTCCATTGATAAATAAAACAAATCCATGAAGGGTGCGAGAACCAGCAGTTGTTACAGTGTTGTTTTAGCTAATACAGACTTTTCTTCTGTTCTCTTTGTGGCCTTTCCTTTGCAATTTGAGTGCAGATCTGCACTCCCAATTAATAATCTGCTCTCATTGAAAGGGTTTCCAGGATTAGGTTTACATTTTGCAGTTCAACCCTGAAAAACGATTCTGTAAGAGAAAAAAACTCTTGTCTTACTACTCACTGAGGCTGTGGTTGCTCTGTGCTTGCACTGGGCAGAGCTTATTCCCAGTCCTGGTCTGCTGCCATCAATTGATAGCCAGGTACCACCCAGCTCCTGTATCAGACCTGTTTGCTGAGCTGAAGCAAACCAAGGCAGCTAAACTGCAAACTTTTGCTTATTGTAGGTTTGCACAGCTATTCCCAAGGATCTAATCTGACCTGCAGAAACTTACTTTTCTTGAGTTTTATTAGGAGTAACAAGGTTCCACCTGTCCCCAACACTTGTAAACTGGGTGCATCTGACATGGAAGTAAGTGCAAGACGGTAAAGCCTCAAATGTGAATCCCTTACTCCTAAATTAATGGTAATCCTAATGTGAATAATTCCATTCACAGGAAGTGTCACATGAAATGAGTCTATTTCCTTAGGGAAGTGTGTTCTTCTATAAAGCTCTGCTGATCCTTGTCTCTCTAGAAACCAAATTGTCAGTCTCTTTGTTTTGCAGCCAAATTCCTCATCCCAGGTCTGGAATAAGTATGGAGAAATAATTCCAGAGAATCCCTTGTTATAAATAAACTGGGTGGGGGAAAGGACTCTGCAGATCCTTCCTTTAAAAAAAAAAAAAAAAAAAAAAAAAAGCAAGAACCTGAAAAAGGGTATGGAGAAAGGTTTCACCTCTTGTACTAGGAGAGAAAAAAAAATCTTGATCGGGAGGCTGATGTTTGCAGTGTGTGTTCAGGGTGAGTCACATGAAAGGCAAATTGAGATAAGAGCAGAGTCCTGAAAGAAAACTACTGATTCTAATCTCTGTATCCCAGCTTGCAGGGTCTTTGCTGCAGAAATTAAAGAGCTGTGTTTCCTTGTGATGTCTTGTTAAAAGGTGCAGGATCACCAGCTTTCCAGAGCTTTCTGCTCCCTGTATGGCATATGTGCACATATATATATATATTTACATGGCATATTATAAATATATATATATAAAACCTTTCTGGGGCTTTTCCCTCATGACCCGTTTATATTGGGTGCTGCATGGTCAGCTTGTCACAGCCCTCTTGCAGCTGTTACAGCCGTACTGTATCCTATCTTTAGCCAAGGCATCTTTTAAGCAGCCACACATGAACTTTTACCGGGTTTATGTAGTTACATCTGAATATCACTAGATGTCCTCTACTGCTAAGTAGCTTTACCTCAGTCCATGCCAACAGCCACAGAGAAGTTTAGTGAAACGAATCTCAGCTGTTTAAGCTATGTTTTTTATAGTTCAGTTGTTCCAAGTCCATAGATGTACAGTGATATTCCTTGTCCATAGCCTGAAGGAGTGCTCCAATACCTCTTACCCACTGGACTTACAGTGAGAGCAAAGGTATTGTTTTGGTTTCATGCAGATTTGGAGCCATCTGACATGTCATAGGAGAACCTCAACTTTATCCTTTGCTCCTCATTTGAGACTGGACTCTCAGGCAAGGCTCAGGCTTTGGCCTCCTTGTGCCCATCTCCACATTTAATGCCCAAGGCCTAGGCCCATGGAGCTCTGTTCTAGCACCATCTGATTCACTGTAGGATGGCACAGGAGTCTCTGCAGAGTGTAGTCGGGTACAGCCCCCTGCTCTGGCGCAACCCAGTTGGCCTCCAGGCAGCAATGCCCTGGGTTAGCTCATGAGAGTACCACCGCTAGCCCCTGGACCCCATCTCCATCCTCTGCCTTCTCTGCAGTGATCGCTTATCATAATATCATAGAATGGTTTGGGTTGGAAGGGACCTTAAAGACCATCTAATTCCAACCCCCCCACCACAGGCAGGGACACTTCCCACCAGACCAGGTTGCTCAAAGCCCCATCCAACCTCGCCTTGAACACCTCCAGGGATGGGGCATTATCCCTGGCTGTATGACAGTAAGGGCAGCACTACACTGGCAGGAACTTTTACAGACAAAATTTTATCCCTGCAGAGAAAACACTGCTTATTTTGTGCAAACAGCCCTGCTGTGCTGTGAATGCCACCCACTGTAGATTTCTGCTCAACATACAGTGTGCCAGGGGTGGGCAAGGGAAGTGTCCCCCAGCAGCCTGAAGGGCAGCCACCAGCAGAAGAAAGAAGCCGAGAGGCCATGTGTGGTTCACACAGCATTATCCCGCTCAGTTGTAACGTAGGGCAATAAAGAGCCACGCCATCTAGCCCTAAGAGTGAATGTTATGCTGTACAGATAATACTGTCCTCTTAGAGACTGGTTCGCCTGAGGTACAGGCTGACCCGAGCAGTTCAGAGACTGTACGATCACTTTAATCTATTAAGGGATGTTGAACCAGACTGGAAATGTCATGTGCTTAAAGCTGTATGGGGTAAAACGCTGGCTGAAATGTGAAGGAGCTTTTTTATTTTAGCTTTGCATAATGTTCCCAAGTTTGAAGTTTTGCCCATTCTGCACTCACGTCCTGCCGGGGAGGGCTGGTGCAGGAGGGCTCTTCGTGACAGCGCGTCTGCTGTCAAACCGAAGGCAACCCTTTGTTTGAGGGCTCCTTGGGGTGACTCAGCAGGATGCGAAAATGCACTTAAATAGGAGCTGTATTGTGTAAGCACCCAACCACAGCAGCAATTCCCCTGTAGCAAAATTGTTAACTAATACGCACTACAAGACATTTAATGCCGCTCCAGATACTGGCAGGAATTGAAAGAAAGATGAAATAGGAGTTTTTGGCTTTCCTCCTTACATAATTTCAGCATTTCACATGGGCAGGAAGACTACTAAGAACTGAGGGATACCCAGGAGACCTAAATGCAGGAACCTGGCCACGGGGCTTTTTTTCTCAAATGCTGCTGAAGTTGGTATGAAACACATTCAAGATTTTCAGATTTGGGTGTCTGAATATTGTGCTACTCTTGATTTGGAAATAAAGGTACCTCCACATTAGCAGAAATTTGACTGCTCTGAACTGAAATCTGTTTAAGATGCCTAAGTACAAAGCTGGATGCTCAGATTTAAAGATCTTAGTTGGAAACCTCTGGCCCACCGGTCCCAGGACTGCAGTGTCCCCAGCATTTAGTGACTTTTGTGACTCGCCAACAGGCACTGCTCACCTGCGGAGGGCACCGCTCACAGGCAGGTTTGCCAGTGCTGCCCTCATTCCTGGCAAGATGTGCTGATGAAAACAACGAGAAAAAAAAGTTTGCTCAAAGTTGGCCACCTCCATCATTGTACTGCACGCGTAAAAGGTCTGACAAAATTCTGCCCTGAGGAAACTGAGACATTTTGTCCAGGAAGGAAAATCTGTGGCCAAAAAGCGGAGCTGAATTTTGCACCAAATTCACATGCAAACCTGAGAGTGCTGTTGACAAACCCCTGCCTTGCAAGCCAAGCTGTTGATTCATGTGAACAAAATGCCTCAGTCCTGCGGTTCAGTCAGAAAAGCCTACAGAGGGTTCTTATGGACTCGTTTTCCATGCCTTGAGATGGAGCGAGATTAGTGAAGAATTTACAGGCGAAGGAGGCAGCTCGCTGCGGTATGTGTTTGTGGCTGCTCTGCTTCGTAACAAAAGCCAACCAGTTCAGGCCCTCTTTAAATGAGTGGGGCTCACCTAGCACTGATGGACTTGAAGAGCCGAGGCTTTGTTCCTCGGGGAGCTCCAGCAAGGCCAGGGCACAACACTGAGGCTACCCCAAGCCCTCGCCATCTCCCATCCGCGGAGGGCAGGGGCCAGAGCTGCCAGGTGCTGGACCGCAGCCCCCCGAGATGCTCCAGGAGTGCCTGAGGATGGTGCCCAAGCTGCGCTGACCCAGGGGCAGAGCTGTTGGACTCACACAAATTGCTTTCACACCGCTGTTGCCCACATCCCAGGTGTGAGCAGCGTGTGCGAGGAGGTGAGTGCTTGTGCAGGACTTCAGCTCCCTTCGGCCACCACCGGGAAGGTGCGAGGTGGCAAAGGGACCTGCAGGTGAGGCGGGGGTGCGAAGCTTTTGCCTCCCGGAGTCGAGGGCACGAAGAGGAGGTCAGGAAAGCAAACAGCAGCCCTGCATTGCCTTCAAGCCTCATCCCAGACAAAATCTGTAACCTGCGACAAGACGCTGCGAGGCCTCCTGCCTCCAGCACCAGCGAGCACGGCGACCCCACGCCCACCCGGCGGCGCCGGGGCAAGGTCAGTCCTCCCCAAAACCTCCTTAATTTACCCCAGAACCCCCTTCCTGCCTCTTCCCAGCCTCTTTAAGGTCCCTCCGCCGCGATCCACCTTAAGGCGGGCGGGCCCACAGCGGGGCCGGGGGGTCTGGGCACTGCCGCCCGCTGCCCCCGATCCCCAAGCCGGAGCAGCCGCCCCAAACCAACCCCAAAATCCACTCCCCGGGAGCCGCTGCCGGGGGCTGCCGGGGGATGCCGGGGCCCCGCCGCTACCCCGGAGCCCTCCCTCCGGTGCCTGGCGGCCCGGCTCGGCTCGGCCCGGCCCCCGGCGGCGGGGCCGCTCTATTTATAGCAGGCTCCGCGGCGATATAAGCCATGGCCGGCCAAGGGCTCCCCCGCCGCGGCAGCCGGGGCGGGAGCGGGCGGCGCTGCCCGGCCGCCTCCCGGCGGGCATGGGCGGGCTCTGAGGGCGCGGCGAGGCCCCGGTGAGCAGCGGGGAGGGGGTTTGGGGGGTTTTTGGGGAACGGGACGGGCAGCCCGGGCGGTAGGAGGGGTGTCCGGGGGGGTGTCGCTCCCCGCCGGGGCCCTTTCCTTGCCCGGTTGGGCGGGGGAAAGGGGCGGAGGGTGGTGGGGCCGCTGCGTGCCCCGGGGGGCTGCGTGCCCCGGGGGGGTGAGGTCTGGGGAGTGGTGCCCGTGGGGTTGGTGCTGGGGTTGGTGCTTCTCCTCCTCCCGAGAGTGTGGCGGGGAAGGAGGGGGCTCTGTGCGGTGAAACCTCGCTGTCGGTTGAGGGTTTGTTGCGTTTTGTTGGGTTTCTTTTCTCTCTCCCCCCCCTCCGCTCCCCCTCCCTCCCCCAGCGGTTTCAGCTGCAAGCTTATCTTTTACTTTCCTCCCCTTCGCATGCTCTAATCTGGGGATTGCGAGATCGCTTATCTTGCATTAAAACTGCTTTTGGACCACTAAGTACTTTGTGAAAGCTTCCAGATTCATTTGTTCGAGCGTTTGCTAGGCTTCTCGGAGAGAGATGTAGATGCTATCTGCCCTTACAAAGAAAGAAGGAGAGGAGGAGGTGTTTTCTCTTTCTTTCTTTCTTTCTTTTTTTTTTTTTTTTTTTTAATTTATTTCTTTGCTTTAAGAAAACCAGCTGAAACACAGCTGAAAGACTAGGCGTTTTCAGCTCATGTGTTTGGGATTGCAGGGGATTAGAAAGAAAGCTTGCAACTTTTTTTTTTTTTTTTCTTTTTCAATCCAACGGCTCAAGATCTGGAAGCGGTGTTTGGAAACCCTGGTGCCCAGGCAGAGAAACTAAAAGCCAGGCTGGCCGAAAGTTGAGGAGCAAACTAGAGTTAGGCTCTGGGCGGACCAGGCTCAGCATCCTGCACCTCGGCTCCCTGGGACCCCTCTCTGCGGATCTGATGACTTTACACAACGCATCGGGACCTTACCCCGTGGCGGCTCGGGGCGGAGGCTGGGGTTTTGTCAGAAGAGCAAAGCAGTGAGGAGCTGACCCCCGAGCGAGGCTGTCCCAGCACAGGTAACTGCAGCGCTTCTGCACGCATCAGCTGGCACTTTTCTGCATCGGTTGCTTGATGTTATGGAAGTGTGAAAGGCTAAGGTATCAGCTCCTTAGTTATTGGGTGAGTCATCTAAAGTTAGGATTTTGGTGGCAGGCTTAAAGGGATGCTACTGACTAGAAGTATGTACACCTCATCTGGAAACTGTTGTTCATGCAGTAGTTGGCACTGATGCATCAACTTTGTAGTCATACCTGGGTATAGATGTGCTTTCTGTGTTTGTTTAGCTCAGGCCCTTTCTGCAGAAGAGAGATAAATTTCAAAGGCCTCAGTTTGCTTGGGTAAGCTGTCATGTTATTTTCCTATACGAAGGTGCTTCTCTGTTGCTCAGAATCTGTTAGGGCCGTTGTAAAAATGGGGTCCCATTAGTTTAAGAAAAGCTATGGGAAGGTAAAAGAAATGACAAAGGTGTGTCAAGGAGATGGAGTAATAGCTTTTTTTTTTTAAAAAAAAAAAAACAAAACAAAAACAAAAAAAAACAGACCTCTCAGTGGCATGGCTTTGGACTGCCTAACAGAGATGGGAATTCATTCTGTATACTGCAGCCTGGAAACACAAAGGTGACAGCATCTCTTTAAAAATAATTGTGTAGCTAAAGAATGGGTGTGCTTCATATCATAGGTCTGCATCAGTTTGTTTGATTTGCTTTTATGTTGTTCCTCCATCCTAAGAGATACCTCATACAGTGCAGAGTGTAGCCCGGGTTGCAGAGGGCCAAGCACCCCACTAGCATGACTCCCAAATCAGAGCAGCTGCAGCAGGATCGGAGCTGGCCCAGCATTTGTTTTCAGAATTGATGCGAAAGGCGGTTACTGTTTACTGAAGTTTTTGGTGGGTGTTTTTACCAGCTCAAGATTCTTTGTAGAGGAACTAAGAATTACAGAAACAAAGCTTGCATTTTTCATGGGGAGAGTTCTTTGAGGTTTGTGTGTGTTTGTGTGTTGGGTTGGGTGGTGGCTTTTCTTTTTTTGTCCTTTGTTGGTTGCTTTTTTTTTTTTTTTTCTTGAACTGAGGCTAACAAGAAGAAGGAATAAAACTGCATATTCTGACAGTAGAGAGCACTTCTTTCCTTCTCCCACACCACCTTTGGCACATGATAGAGACCTGCTGGTATTTCAGGGCTGGAAGCAGCAGCAGCAGGAGGAGGAGCAGCCCTGTACCTGAGCTCGTGTTGTCATTGGCAAAGCAGTACATGAGGGCACTGTGAGGATAAGTGAGTACAGGACAAATGATGATGAGCCATTACCATTGCTGCCATTGTGCTGTGGTTCCTTAGTGCTCTTCTTTAGCCGGTACTGGCATCGTGTCCTGTACCGAGACCTGTGTGGCCCTTCAGCTTGCATCATGTGCTGTTGCTGGCTGCCTGGGGGTGTTTCACTGTTGGGACCAGCACAGCACAAGCTCTGCTCTGTTCTGCTCTTAAGTTTGCAGGGCTTCTTAAGGAAAGCTGTTTGGCTTTGTTTCTGCCCTTTTTTTTTTTTTTTTTTGTCTTCCCTCTTTGGGTGTGAAATTCCTCTGTATGGCTGGATTCAAGCCAGGAGTCTCTACGCACCTCTCCTGCTTGCAAAGCCACGTTCCCCTGCTGACCTGCTGTGTGCAGGTCAGGCAATTCGTTAGGATGAGTTAGTCTGCTCTATGAAAGCTTTAGGATCTAGACTTCAGCTGGACCAGTCTTTATTTGGATTTGGCTGGTTTATTTGCTCTGCAATGCTGTCACTCCTGTCTTGCTCAGTCCCTGTGTCTGTGCTGGGGCTGTGGTGTGGTGTGCTGCCACTGTGTGTGGGAGCTGCTCTTGTCCTTGCCTCAGTGTTGTAACTTGTGTGCAACTGCACCTCCCTTTACATCCCTTACCTGTGTAGGCTGGAGGAGGGAGGGTTTGCACCTTAGTGTGGCAATGTGCAGCCCTGAGCGCAGAGGGGACTCAAGCTCTGGCTAGTAACATTGGTCCACAAGAACAAAGGCACAAGAGACTGGTATTTGCATAAGCCTCACTGCCACAAATAAGTAGATCAGGGCTGAGGGGGCAGACTGAATATGGAAAATACGGAATTCATTTTCAGGCTTTCAGGATACTGCCATAGACAGGGTTGAGGAAGAGAAGTGGTCTTAACAGATATGGAAATGTGCCTTGAAAGTGACCTTTCAAAAATCAATGATATTATTCTTGGTGTGCGAGACATCCAAATTTAATAAAATGTAAAGCAGAAGGGGCTGGGAGGATTTGGTCCAAGTAAAAACAGAACAAGCGTGGGACTAGCAGATGGGAGGAACATTAGCCTGCTCCTTGGTGGAGTTGTTGCATCTTCCTGTTGCCTACAGAAGGGACTTGATAGAAGTTAGTGGGGAGAAGTGCACTGGCTGTTTAGTCTATTTGAATGTCACTGGATGTATTTTTTTGCATAGGGAAGTGAAAGTCCAACAGTGCAGTGGGTCATATCCTGAGTGTTCCTAATGTAAATCCAGAGCAAGTCCATCAACTTCAGTGACATCTGCAGTAAGCCACGACTGGCTCTTTCTGAACAGAGGGAAGAAATGAGCAGCTGTATCTTAGGAGGCTGGATTTCTTGGCTTGGATTTTTTTTTTTTTTGAGATTTATGACTCTTATTTTCTGTTTGAAAATGTAGCGGAGCAATTGCTGATCCATGCATGTATGTATGAGAAAATGTCAGCGGAGGAGTAATGCATATGGAAATCTTGCACAGAGAGATGGCAAACTGGCCACCTGCTCCTAGATGATGAAATAATTATACAAAAATATATCTACTGAAGTCATCATTGAGGGAAGAGGTGGGGGTAGGTTTGGGGAACTTTTTTTTTTTTTTAAACAGTTTGTAGTACTTACTGCTGACTCTCCAACCAACTTTACTGCTTCAGACACTGCTTCTTCAGTAAGTGGTGGCTAATGCTGTACAGGTTTCATCAGAGAGAGCAGTCCCTTGGTTCAGGGCTAGGTGGGGAGGTGGGAAACCTGCCTCCAGATACCTTCTCTGTCACAGACTGCCTTTGGGCAGGTAGGCTGAGATCTCGTACCCTTATACATGGATATCTGAAACTGTGAATCTGCCTCTCATTGGACCCACTTTTCTTCTTTCTAATGCAGTAGTTTTGTTCTTTGTGGGGTGTTTTGGGAGCATAAATGTAGCAAATGCTGAGATACTAAAGAAGGCATCTCTGTATCTGAGATACTCTGGGACTGAAATCTCCATTCTGCTGATTATATTCCGGCCAGAAATGGTCAGCAGAACTGCTTCTACAAATAAAGCTGCTTATTAATTTTTGGCTAAATACTGGCCTTTTTCGTTTGTATTTGTCTCTGAGAATTTGCTGTTGATGGGCTCGAGATTGAAATCTCAAACTACTTTTTTTTTTTTTTTTACAACTAGTGTAGAGCAACTTGAAAAGTATGCTGACTCCCCTTCACCTTCTCCCAGGTAACATACTGCTTGTCTTGCCATGCCTGTTCTTTTTCTGAAGGTCTGCTTCTGGAAAGAATGTTGTACCAAATACATAACTTTATGTGGTGTGGTAGAAATGGTTTTATCTTTCTTCACCATCTCACCCTTCACCCTCCTCCACTGTCTACCCCTTCTTTGTGGCTCCAAAGTCCACGTAATTTCATAAAAAGCTAATCTTTTGAATGTACAACAGTTCCTATATTAACTTGCTAAGCTTAAAGTTGTAAAAAAAAAAAAAGTGGGCATCTTATTTTGTGGAGGGGAAAACTGTTGTGTTTTCCCAAATATGGGGGGAATACCCCCAACTGGCTTGCTGAGCAGTTTTCTCCATGTTTGGTTATTGCTCTGTCTCCCAGCCAGCTCCTGAATGCATCTGCCTAGCTCAGGGTCCAGAGATGAGTGTTGCTGGGGACTGTTTCACATCTGAATGGTAACTAGTAGTGATCAGACATGCTGGACCAGCTTGCTGGTTGATGTAGTGACTGATGTCTGGCCACTGAAGGCTAGGCAACTACTGCAAGCTTCCATCATCTACAGCAAAAAATGAGTAAAAACTCCATCAGCTCAGAACAAGTTTGCCATAAACCTGCTCCCTGGGTGTGGGTTAACCTTGCTGTGCCCTGGAGTCAAGTCTGCTGCTCTTGTATGTTAAAGTAAGTCTTGGTTTGCTTTCTGATTTACTGGAGTGTAAATAAAGCAAGAAGGTCTTTCACGTACAAGCTCACTCATCGGCATATATTAGTAACGCTCATCAGCTTTTGACTGGAACTTTGATAGCATAATTACTCTAAAAGGGTAACATATTCAAAACTACCTGTGTGACTTTGGGAGTTGGATTCCTGAGAGTCTTAGTCATTATTTTAAATAGGAATCAGCTTTCTAAGCCACACATACTCCTGAAAGTTTAAGAAAGGGCTTCTGTTATCATGTCTTTGAAAACGTCAGTTTCTGGTACAAGTGTGGCAGCTCTGCCACTCTACTTATTTCAGATATTAACTAAGGAGCTTGAAGTAAGGATTAGATTACTGAGGAAAATAAATTCTCATGGGTAATCTTACATTTTTGCAAATTGGACTTCTCTTGTATGTTCTGTCAGCTGACAGCAGGATGGATAAAGATACATATTTTCTAATGCATCTTTAGGACAGCTAAAAGGATGGCAGATATCTTGGCTATCGCTGTAGACAGTAAAGCATGCATTTCTTCAGATGCTACTTGGTGCACCGAATTCAAACAGCATGCGATGGAAACAGTTCAAGTCACCAGGATAAACACAGTTATCAGAGCAACAGATAAACTGAGAAAAGTCTTCCGTACTCTAGTATTTATGTTTGTGTTGTTAAGACTTAATTTGCTTTCAGTCTTAGGTTTCTTTTTCAGCAGTGATGGATTACTCTTGGTACTTGTGGTGCAGTTTTTTAAAGCATTCCTGGAACACTAGTAACAAAATCTATTTATTTTTGCAACATACCTGTGAGATAGAGACCTGCTATTTATCTCACTT